CCCTACTGGGCCCTGTGCAGATGGGGGAGCTCTCTGTGTGTGCTCATAGTGAGGGGAGACCCTCGAGGGAGGTTGCAGCCCAGAGACCCAGAGAAAGGTATGGGGCTGAAGGACAAGGGGCTCTGCAGAGGAGACCCAGCCACGCTGCACGGTCCTGCAGAGGATGTGGCCACCTCCTAGTGAAGGAGCCCCTGCTTGGCTGCAGGTCCTGCCTGGGCTATGGGGGCTGCACAGCACAGAGCCCTGAGCTGTCCCTCAGCTCTCTGAAGCCACTCTTCAGCATTTGCTGGAGTCACGCACAGGGACAGCCAGGATGCATGGGAGCTCTCCCCACTGTGGGCACCCCAGGGCCACCAGTCACCCCACTAGGTACTGTGGGAGTGGATGGGTGAGTGGCTGCGAAGGCCATGTTGAGGGATGCTCCAGCCACCGAGCCTTTCCAAGTGGAGAAAGCAGCTCCAAAGCCCGCCTTGCTCTAGGGCAGCCGCCCCAGGCATGGGGAGGGGTCCCTGGCCCAGGGCCCCACAGCTGCTCTTCCCCCCAGCCCTTCACCTGTGACGTGACCGGCTGTGCTGCCCAGCTCTTACTGGAAGAGGAAGCTGCTGGGAAGGCGGTGTGTGCGGCGGGGCAGCTTTGGGGAGGCTCGGCTGGGCTCGGCAGCCGGCACAGCTCAGCTGTCCATGCTTCCAGGTCCAGGGCCAGTAACGGGAAGCGTCTGCTCTCAGTGACGGTAAATCAGATCGGGGAGATTAGAGGCCTTTTTGCCTAATCATGAGCAGCTTGAAGTTGGAGGACAAGTTCCTGGAACAAAGAGGAAATGGAGGCAGTAAATAAAGAAAAACTGTTAACATGTGGCCCTGCGTGTGAAAAATGTCTCATGAAGGACTGTTTATGGCTCACTCATCTGCGGGGCTGACAGCGAGGGGGGCAGTGAGGGAGGAGGCCCCATGGGCAGGGGCGCAGGCAGGGGCAGGGCAGCCGGTGGGGAAGCTGCAGGGCTCAGGATGGGGGATCTGGGAAGGGCAAAGGCTGTGGTGGGGCAGAGGGAGGGAGAAGGCAGCAGCATGGCAGGAGCCATGGTGCAGGTGGCTGGAATGTGGCACATACACAGGTGGGCAGGGCTGGGCAGCATAGCCCCTGAGGGGAAGGGGGGACCTGAACGCACCTGCCCTGCTGATCCCCTGCAAATGTCAGGAGAAAGTGTCAGGTTCTGCAGAGCTGTGCCCCCCTCCCCATCTACAGCACGAGGCAGATGCAGCCCAGCCAGTCCAGCCTGACAGGGAAAGGCAGGGGGGTTTCACTGCTGCACTGGGCACATGCCCTCCTGCTCCGGGGCAGTGCAGAGTTCTGCCAAGAGGCCGGTTGGTCCCCCCAGAGGAGGCAGGTAGCGCTGAGAACTGCGGAGCTGCCCACAGACCCCACAGCACCGGTGCAGTGCCAGCCCACCTTCGGTGCCACCAGGTGATGTGTCGGCTGCTGCCAGGGCAGACACAGCCAGAGCTGGAGCCAGGTGACCCCGTGCCAGCCCTCTTGGCAGCGGCACAGCGTGGCGGGAGCCGCAAGCATCCTCGCTCAGCCATGGAAAGACTCGCGGATCCCCCCTGGCGCCCAGGATGGGGCTCCCGGTGAAGCGAGGAGAGATGGGGCTCCCTGGTGAAGCCGCGGGAGACTGCGGGGCTGGGGCGGTCCCCCACCCGTGTCACCCAGCGCCACTGTGGCTGAGGCGAGCGCACAGGTGGGGGATGGAGGGACGACGGCTCTACAGTGCCCACGCAGGGACTGCTGCCCCGTGCCGCCGCCACGGCATCCCTGCCCCGTTCCCGGGGCGGGGGCCGGGCGGTCCCGCCCCCGCCCGGGAGCCCTTGCGGGGGGCGGTCCCGGCGATGCGGGCGGTGCTGCGGCACGGACGGCTGCCCTGGCCCAGGGGGGTGCTCGGGGGGTCGCAGCCGCGGAGGCCCCCCCGCCCCGCCGCGGTTTCCCCGCGCACCGTGGACCTGCGGAGCGACACGGTAACCCGGCCGTGCGCGGGGATGCGCCGCGCCATGGCCCGCGCCGTCGTGGGCGACGACGACTACGGGGAGGACCCGGCGGTGAACGGTGGGCGGAGGGGACGGACTTTCCGTGAGGTCCCCGGACCTGTGGGGTTCCCGGCGCCCCGGGACCCCCAGCGCCAGCCCCCCAGGACTCCCGTGTCCCCCCGCAGAGCTGCAGCGCCGGGCCGCGGGGACCCTGGGGACGGAGGCGGCTCTGTTCGTGCCCACGGCCACCATGGCCAACCTTATTGCTGGTGAGTCCGGGGCTGCGCTCTCTGCTCCCCGCGCCCCCAGGCCCGCTCCGGGGGCAGGTGGTGCCCCCGTCCCGTGGGACGTGTGGAGGGCCCGGACAGCCCTGCGCCTCTCGGGTCCCCAGAGCCCCGTTCCCCTGGAGAGCATTGCTGGGGCCGGGGCCCCCTCTGCTTTCCCCGGGGCAGAGCCCCACTGCTGCCGTGGAAGTCGTGGGGTGGTAGGGCAGAGCTGTGGGGTGCTGCCCTTGGCAATCCTTCACGGCCCCTCTTCCCCTAGTGATGTGCCACTGCCAGCAGAGGGGGACTCAGCTGTTCCTGGGCCAGAACGCCCACCTGCACCTCTATGAGCATGGTGGGGCCGCACAGGTGGGTACCGAGGGCGGGCACGGTGGCACTGGTGGCAGTGCAGGCAGGGGCAGGAGGGCGGCCATGTGCTGCCCTCCTCTGGCTGCCAGGGCTGGGCTGGGCAGAGGACCCACTGCCACAGCATCACCCAGATTGTCCCAAACCACAGGCTGTGCATGAGTAGGGGCTGAGCACACCCGATGGAGGGGACAGAGGGGCAGAGGGCTGGAACCCCCCTGTCGGCTCTGTGCTCTTACCCGCCCTGGCTGCAGGTTGCCGGTGTCCATTCCCAAGCCCTGCCAGATCTGCCAGACGGCACCTTCGACCTGGACCAGCTGGAGCTGACCATCCGCGAGGCCCACGGCAGCCGGTACCACCCACGCCCTCAGCTCATCTGCCTGGAGAACACGCACAGCTCGGCAGGAGGCCGGGTGCTGCCCCTCACCTACCTCAGGCAGGTGGGAGCCCACGGACAGTGCTGGCACAGTCCTGCCTGACATGAGCAGCTGGACCCAGCACATTGACACTCTGGGGACGCTGGAGCTCAGAGCGCAGCTCACGGTGGACAAGATGCCCCAGGGGTCCATCTCAGACCAGCTGCCCCTGTGCCCCCAGGTCCGTGAGCTCGCTGACCACTACGGGCTGCAGGTGCACATGGACGGCGCACGGCTGATGAATGCGGCGGTGGCCCAGGGTGTGGAGCCTGCTCAGATCGCCCAGCACTGTGACTCCGTGTCCCTCTGCTTCTCCAAGGTGTGCTTCTGTGGAGAGGGGTCCCCAGGGCTGGCGGGAGGCAGCGCAAGCTGGAGCTTGGCCCTTGTTTGCAGGCGTTGTGCTAAGAACACACCTGGCAGGCTGGATGTGTCCCCAAGAGGGGCAGCAGGGGTGACCCCACTGGTGCTCTGCAGGGCCTGGGCGCCCCGGCCGGCGCGGTGCTGGCGGGGCGCAGGGAGTTCATCGCCGAGGCCTGGCGCACGCGGAAGCTGCTGGGCGGGGGGATGCGGCAGGCGGGAGTGCTGGCGGCCGCTGCCCTCCTCGGGCTGCGGCACGCGGAGGCCACGCTGCACAGAGACCACGACAATGCCCGGCGCTTTGCAGAAGGTACCTCAGGGCCCCTCGGCCTGCCAGGAGGTAACGGCACACCCAGCACTGCCAGGCACTGCTGGGGTAGTGCTGGCTCAGGCACCATCCCCCAACGGTCATGCTGGGTCTCCTGCCAGGTGAGGATGCTGCTGGGATCCTCACCTGTCTGGAGTGCTGGGGTGATTCTGTGACCATCCCCGTGGTGCCCGCAATGACCCTGGTACCACACGGTGGGGTAAAGGGCCCCCCTTCAGCCAGGACCTGGGGCATGGCTGGGGCAGGTAGCCTCTCCCAGGTAGCCAGGCAGTGGGCTCGCACCCACCACCCCGGCCTCCCACAGGCATCCACGTGCTGGACTTGCCTCTCTGCTCTGTTAACCTGGCAGCGGTGGAGACCAACATCGTGATGGTAAATGTCCGGGGGGCCTGGCCATCCCCTGCCGAGCTCTGCGATCACCTGCGTGCCACCAGCGAAGAGGAGGTGGCTGAGACCGGGCAGGCTGTCAGCGTCCTGCTGCTCCCCTGGTCGGCACACACCGTGCGCGCCGTCTGGCACCGCGACATCTCGGCCCGCGACACTGAGCTCGCAAGGAGCAAGCTGGAGTTTGTTGCCAGGAAGTGTCAGGAGAAGCTGGCCCTGGGACTGCATCCGACTCCTTTGGGCACAGGGGGAGCCTGAGCATCCTCCCAGCCCCCCGCTGAAGCAGGTAGGCCAGCCCACAGTGCAGGGGCTGGGACCAGCCCCTGTGTGCTCCAGGTGTGTTCCCAGCTGACTGCAGCACATCATCTGTCCCCACAGGCAGACTGACAAACCAGGGTGAGCCCAGCCTGGGGGAGACCCCAGTCCTTGGGGTGGTCAGTGCACAAAATAAATGTTTTCTGGCAGTACTGTGGCTGTGCGGGGTGTTTCAAGTGTGCCTGGCTCTCTTGCCTCTGCAGCAGGGACATTTCGGCCAAGGTCCCCATGGAGGGACAAATGCTCCTGAGGACATGGAAGCATCTCATCCAGAGGACCAGAGTCACTGCACAGCAGCGCCAAGGTTTGTGTCTGGCCAGGACTGTCCCAGGAGCATGAGCCCAGCCTGGCTTAGATGGCTCTGTCACCCCCATTCCCAGAGGTTTGTGTCATCCCAGTCCTGCAGCCACAGGTGGGCTCCCCAGGCTTCTCTGTTATGTTCTGGGTCAGTGAGTCTGCAGCCCAGAACTCTGTGCTGGAAGAAGGGATTCCCTCAGCAGTAGTCACACTGGGTGTGCACTCACTGGCTCCCTGGGAAGCAGCTACCCCAGGCAACAGTAATTCTTGTTTTATTTTGTATCGACAATATGCATTTTAAAGGACACTGAGGGAATGATCTTCATCAACCAGTTGTCTGGACAGAGCCTTGCAGCCCTCAGCCCCTCATGCTCTGGCAGGCAGGAAGGCAGGAAGACCCCAGGAAAGGGGCACCAGCCTAGGCTGGGCAGAGCAGAAGGGGCCAGGGGGGTCTGAGGCAGTGGCCACCCTGTGCTGGAGCAAGGAGGCAATGGGCAAGGGGAACACTGGCTGCCTGGTGCCGTCATGCAGGGCCATGGTCCCTGTCTGTTTGCTCTCAACATGCCATCATGCTCTTGAAATCATGTTCAGAATGACCTGGGATGAGGAACCAAGCCCTGTGAGCAGCAGCTGGCCCTGCTCCTCCCCACAGGGAGGTGACAGCCAGCCCTGCACCCACCTGATCTGTCTCAGCACAGCCCTCCTGCCTACCTGAGTGAGGATGTAGCTGTTCTCCGACAGCTTCTCAATGACATCAAAGTGATCCACACTGGCCAGATCCAGCAGGGAGACGGACCAGCCGGCTGCACGCAGGGCCTGCAAAGAGAGCGGTGCTGGCAGGAGGGACCTCAGCGCCCACCTGCCCTGCACAGGGCAGCAGGAATGACAGCTTGGCAAGGACTGGTGTCCTTCCCCAAGCCAGAAGCACCACTCTGGTCCAGCATGCGAGCTCTTCATCCCAGTTGGACACACTGGCGAGGGCCAGCTGGAGCAGCACTCCCATGGAGCTGGGCAGGGCGCTGCTGGAGCTCACCTGGCTGTACTCCTGCGACTGCCTGCGAAACTCCGGGGAGTCGTGCTGGGCCACAACCACAAGCACCTCACAGGCCGCTGGCACCGCCGGGGCAACGTGTCGCATGGGACTATTCCTCTGGGCCACCTCCCTGCAGGAGTCACCGCAGTGGCAGCTGACACAGCCCCTCGCTCCGAGAGCAGCCATGTCCTTGGCTGGGCTCATCAGCCAGGGGGTGGCACAGGCGCAGAGCGGCCACAGAGCCACTGATGTCTGCCTGCCTGTGCCCTGTCCCTGTGGCTGTCCCTGCAGTGTGCAGGCTCACCGGCTCATGTTCAGAGCATCGTTCACATAGGTGTGCAGGATGGGCTCCAGATCGTACACGCCGCTCACCAGCACTGCTCCTGAAGGCAGAGGCACTGGCAAGTGAGAGGCCACAGCTTGGGTGGCTCCCACAACCCTGGGGACCTCATCATTGGGCAGCTCATCCCCTCGGCTCCACAGCCCCACAGCCTTGTTCCAAGTGCAGAGACCGGTTCTCCTCCAGCCTCTGCACTGGGATACACCAACCCTACCTTTGATATCTGGCACCACGTGGAATTCCGTCCAGTCTGTGAACAGCACCATGGCTGCCAGGTGGGCCCCTGCCGAGTGCCCACACAGGTAAATGCCTCTGGAAGGAGAGAGCCGTGAGCAGCCAGTTCAGGGAGTGACTGGCAGGGACACCTGGGGACACCTAGGGACATCCTGCTCCAGGCAGAGGGGGCAGCACGCCTGAACACAGCAGCTCGGATGTTTCCTAATCCATCAGCTGCTGCCTTGTGCAGTGATAGGATCGGGGCTGCAGGCACTGCCCAGCACTTGGGCTGAGGTGCTGGAGTCTTTGTCCTGGCGCAAGGCTCGTTTGCCCCCCCAGCCATGCTCACACATCAGCCCCCCGGGAGCTGCCCACCTGATCTCAGGGTACTGCTCCACCAGGAAGGCAAGGCTGCGGCGCACCTGCAGAACCATAGTGTCCATGTGGCCTGGGCAGAGGGCAGAGGGCAGGGTCAGAGGGCGCCGGGCCATGCGCGCGGCCACAGCCTCTGCAGGGTGACACCCACCTCTGGGGGCTGTGTCGTACCCCACCGCCACCACCGCCACCCCCTGCGACACCAGCGGGGGGGCTGCAAACCCCGACTCGTCCTTACTGGGGAAGAGAGACGCTGACAGGCTGTGGGGGCCAGGGGCTGTGGGGGCCAGCTGGGGACTGGTCAGACCCCACGTACCCAGAGAGTCCCAGTGTCAGGAGAAGGGAGTCAGTAAGGGTGGGCAAGGGGAGTCCCTTCCCAAGGGATCCCACCTCACCTCAGGCACTGCCAGTATCCGCCATGGATGTAGACCAGGACCGGGAAGGCTGCACAGTGCAGTGGGGGGTGAGCAGAGGATCCGACCCCTGCCCACCCCTGTCCTCACCGTCTCTGTCACTTACTCCCAGAATGGTCCGTGGGGAAATAGATGTCCAGCTTCTCCCCGTCCCCTTTGCCATAGGGGACGTGCAGCGAGGTCTGGGCGCTGGCCCGGGCCCGCTCGGTTCCTGCAGGGCAGGAAGCGGTGGGGCATGGGGCCATGGCACCGAGCGCAGCCCCCACTCCCGGCGTCCCCCGCTCCTCACCTGCCGCCGTCACCGCGAGGTGGGCGTCGATGATGGTGTCCCGGTCGAGGCGGGGGGACCAGCGGCTGGGGGAGTACTGGTCCTCCAGCGCCTGCGAGGAGGCAACGGGGCTGCAGCGGGGGCCGAGAGAGACCCCGCGGTCTGGCAGAGAACCGCGCGCTACCTGCCCCCAGGCCCTACCTCGGCGGACATGTCCCGCCACCCGCCCATGGTGCGTCCGGTCCCGCGCCCGGTCCCGTCCAGACCCGGCGCCCCCTCCCCGCCCGGGGGCGGGGCCAGAGCGCGGGGGCGGGGCCGACTCCTTCCCATTGGCCACCCTGGAGGCGAGGCTGGGGCTCGGGCACAGGGCCAGAGCTCGGGGGCGGGGCCAGGGCCGGGGGCGTGTCCGGCCCCTCCCATTGGTCCTCCTGGCCCGGAAAGGCGGTGCCGACGCTCAGGGGAAAATAAGAATTTTGGCGCCCGTGGCCCCATTGGTCAGCATCGCGGAGCGCCGGCGCGGGCCCTCCCGCGATTGGCTGGCACGGCGGCGCGTCGGCGCGGGGCCTCTTCCGATTGGCCAGCGCTGGCGCGGCGGAGCGGCGCGCGCGGGCTCTGGCCGTCAGTCCGCCATGAACTGCCTGACGGTGCCCGGCGTCCACCCCGGCTCGCCCAGCCGACCCCGCGGGCAGATACAGGTACGGCACCGCCCGGGCACCGCGCTGGGGGGCACGGACAGGTACCATCCCAGGGCACCCGGCTGGGGAGGCTGCGAGGCCGGGGGCCGCACCGGCACCGGGCGGGGCCGGGGCTGTCCGATGACCCACCATTCTGCCCCCAGGTGATCTTCGGGCCGATGTTCTCCGGGAAGAGGTAGGCCCGGGACGGGGGGCGCGGGGCGAGGCCCGAGGCGAGGTGCGAGGGGAGGGTCGGTGCCGGTGCCCGCTGACACAGTGTCTCGTAGCACGGAGCTCATGCGGCGGGTGCGGCGGTTCCAGCTTGCCCAGTACCGGTGCCTGCTGGTGAAGTACGTCAAGGACACGCGCTACAGCTCCTCCGGGGTCTCCACACACGACAAGTCAGTTCCTGGGGCAGGAGGACCACCCCCCCTCCGCGGGGATGCCTGGCCTGCCCGGCTCACCCCCTCCCTGCCCGCAGGAGCACCATGGAAGCTGTGCCCGCCGGGCTCCTCCGGGATGTGTACCAGGAGGCGCTGGGCGCCGCCGTCATCGGCATCGACGAGGGCCAGTTCGTAAGTGCACAGCTGGAGGGGGTTCGGGGCGCTCTGGGGAACACAGGCTCCCCAGGACACCCTGTGCAGACTAAGGCCTGAGTCCTCTGTAGGAAGAGATGGAAAGAAATGCCCTGGGGCAGTTTGATCCAGCTGGACTGTGTTTGTAGTCAAACCCTCCCTCCCTGTAGTCCTCGATGGCATGGGACTGGAGTCCATTCTAAAGACAGGGCATGTGGCTCTGACTTTCCTTGTTCCTGGTGCTGCTGTCTGGGTATGCACTGCAGGATCCAGAGCCAAGAGCTGCCCCTGCTCCCTCCTGATGCTGTGCCTGTGCCCCCTCCAGTTCCCAGATATTGTGGAGTTCTGCGAGACAATGGCCAATGCCGGGAAAACAGTCATCGTTGCTGCTCTGGATGGGACTTTCCAGAGAAAGGTATAACACTCATTTTGGTACAGCAGCTGCTTTGGGACCCTCACAGAACCCACCCAGCAGCACCTCCTACACTGTTTTGCACAGGCCTTCGGGAGCATCCTGAACCTCGTGCCGCTGGCGGAGAGCGTGGTGAAGCTGAATGCCGTGTGCATGGAGTGCTTCCGGGAGGCCTCCTACACCAAGAGGCTGGGAGCAGAGCGGGAGGTGAGTTCCCTTGGAACAGAAACTGCTTCAGCTTTCCAGTCCTGCTGGTCCAGAGGATCCCCTCAGGGAAGCTGAACTCTGCAGAGTCACCCTCCGAATTTTCCTGCCAGGTTGAAGTGATTGGAGGAGCTGACAAGTACCACTCTGTGTGCCGAGCCTGCTACTTCCGCAAGCGGCCCCAGCAGCCTGGGCTGGAGAACAAGGAAAACATGCCCCTTGGGTTGAGGCAGCAAGAGGCAGCTGCCATTCGGAAGATCTTCACTTGACTGCTGGGAAAATGGAGGGGAAGAGAGCTCAGTGCCAGGGCCTATGGGCTCAGGATCTGCTTCCCCGTGCTTTTAGTGAACTGTTCAGTGCCTCAGCCCTCCCTGCCCAACCTCCACTGCCCCCCACACCGAGCACCACAGCCACGGAGGATCCACCAGGCCTGATGCTGGGGAGAGCTGAAGCGAGAGCCTGATGAGAGTGACTTCCAGTCTCAGAACACAGAGAGAGACAGGTGTAGTTAGCGATGTTGCCACACACAGGCCCTGGCTCGGTCCATGGCGAGCTAGGCTGCAGGGCTCTGGTTGCTCGCCGTGGCTCTGGCCAGCTCTCCCAGTGCTCTGTGTGTGCTCAGGCTGGCACTGGTGCTGGTTCTGGTGCCTGTGAATGCAGCTCTTCTCTCTTGTGCACTCTTGCTAAATTCCAGGTTTCTCAAGACAATGTACAGTCATTGAGACTGTACAGTATTTTGAACCCACTTCCTTTTTTAACAGTCTGAGGTAATTTGTCTCTTGTCACAGAGCTGTGGCACAACTTTTAAACTGACACATGCGACAGCCCAGCCCTGGGCAGGGCCTTGGCTTCTCCATTTGCTGACACTCTCGCTTTTATTACTGTTTTGTCAATTCTTGTTGAAACAGAAGAGGGGAAAGGCAGGCCCAACTCAGCCTGGCAGCAGGCTCTTCTGAGCCACTGAACTTCAAAGGGCTGGCGGTGGTCTAGCAGGCTGTGACAGAGTCCTTTGGAAGAACTGGTCCCAGGAAGAGCCTACTCAAAATTCAGGGCAGTTTTTCTCAGGTTCAAGATTGGTGCTGCCATTTTGGTGCTGCATTACCTGTGAGGGGTTTAGAGGCTCAGGGTTTCATCTTCCCAGATTTCGGTGACTGTTCCTTTGAAGGTCCAGCTACTTGGCAAAGGGGCTCTGATCTGAAGGGCTGGTTCTTTACTTTAGTTGTGTCTCTTGCTCCCTCCTGAGCCTTCCAAAATTCTCGAGGCTGACTGTTCCTCTGCTCTAAGCTGACTGAAGGATCCTCTTCCCCCTTTGCTTGGTTCAGCTTCTGGAAGGTTGTTGGCTTTGTTCCTTACTCCTTGCAAAAGTGCTTTTCCCTGGAAGAGATCCACAGGCTCCAAGCAGTAGTTCTTGATTCTGGCCAGGCCAGATCTCCACGTGTGAGTGCAGGGTCACTGTTTGCCTGTGCCCTGGAAGGCTCCAAGAGCCACATGAACTCCCCCTGTTCCTCCCATGTTACCAGTGGGCACAACTGTACTCACAAGTACTCGAGTGCCAGGCCTGGGCTTTTCTCTCGGAGCTAGGGAAGGCACTGCTGCTGCTGTTTCAGGTTAATAAATAACTTAATGAACCTCTGTGTGCATTTTCTACCAGAGTGCTCTGCAGAAGCTTCCTGGTTGTGGCCAGTGAGGCAGCCTGGGCTGGTCACTGGAGTGGTCACAGGGCAGGAGGGCCGCTCGCAGGGCTGGCACTGGAGCTCTGCTCGGATCGAGGAGCAGGAGGAGGGTTGCCTAAAAATAGCCACCAGCATGAGTGTGCTGTTTGCAGCGCAGCAGTTGGCAGGGGCTGTGCCGCCACTGCCTCGCCTGGCACCCCCCAGCCCTCAGGAGGAGAGGGCAGTAGCCCCTTCTCCAGAGACAAAAGGCACATGGTGGCTCGGTGAAAAAGTTTATTCAAACCTTACAGTGACAACTACTTGAACACCAGCCCCAGCAGCAACAGCCCGCACCAGGCCACCAGGAACAGCTTCACCATAGCACAGCAGCGAACACAACCTGAGACAGCGGCCCTGCGGCACCCAGGGCAGCCGGAGTGCAGGTGGGAGCCGTGGGCAGGGCACGGCAGCACAGCCTCGTGTTGGCAGAGGCAGCGCTCATGGGGGAGGCAAGCAAGGGACAGAAAGCGCTCCAGGACCTTCTTCAGCTGGAGCAGCCCTGGCCCTCCTGAGGGATCCCAGCGCTCACCGCTCCCCCGGATCCCAAACCGCGGGAGCACTGGCAGCTCTAGTGCAGGCTGGGAGAAGGCACAGTGCGGCATCAGAGGAAGACAAGGGGGGCTTTGGCAACAGCTCACCCAGCAGCAGCCGAGCGGGGAAGGCACTGAAAGCTGGCACAGGCGGGAGCCAGGCCCGGCTGTGTTACAGCAGCAAGAGACAGCACTTGGGAGGACGCAGCCAGCAGGGCTGAAAGGCACTGGGGCCAGGACAGGCCAGGGCAGCAGTCACAGGGGCAGAGCCGGGGCAGGGTCAGGGGGGTGTGAACCACACACTCCACCAAGGCACCACAGCGAGGGCAGAGGCTCAGCTGTGCCAGGGCTGCCCGCACACCCACCCTCCCGCAGCCGCAGGGCTCACCCAGCAGCTGCAAATCACCACCATGCGCCGAATCACCCACCACACACGGGGCTCTCGACCCCTCATCAGGGAGCTTGGCTCCAGCATCAGGACCAGGCCCCTCCTGTGCCCCATGCCAAGGCCCGGTCACCTTCACACAAAGCAGCCGTCACCCTCCCACCCCTCCAAGTCGCAGGCCCCTCCCTCCCACCCCACAGAAGGAATTGCACTGGTACAGCCACCCGCAGGCACCAGCCGGGGCTCAGTACACCGGGGGGGGCTGGTACCCCTCCGGGGCCTCTGCCGTGTGGGTGAAGGGCGGCTGCTGGTAGCTCTCATGGCTGATGTTGGGGTAGCTGGAGTAGGGAGTCGAAACCTCTGGGGTGGGGTCGACATAGCTTTGAGCAAAGTCCTCCACCCCCATTTTGTACCTCTTGTAAGCGAAGGTCAGCAGGAGGCCCTGCAGAGAGGAGGGGGCGGCAGCGTTAGGGCTGTCCTGCACTGTGCAGTATAGGGGGCCCCTCCACGCTCCCCCCAAGCAGGGCAGGGTGGTTCACTCACCCAGGAGAAGATGGAGAAGAAACTGAAGGTGATGGCAGCACGGGCAGAGTCTGCCACGATGTACACCTGCTCAGTCCATGTCCAGGACCACTGGTTGGTCAAGAAGCAGAACCCGATGAACCACAGGAAGGTCCAGAGACCTGTGGGGGCAAGTAGCATGAAGACCCTGCTCCACCGTGCAGGCCGGTGCAGGCACCCGGCCGGGGGCAGTCACTCCTCAGGACGCCCAGCAGCAGCAGCAGCAGCTCGTGGCCGACGGGCAGCGTGCCAGGCGGGAGCGACTCCCTTTGCCAGGCACCGGCAGCCACGTCACGGGACAAGGCGGCCATTGTGCCAGCGGCGGGAGGCACAGCCCTGCCCCGCGCCCACGGTACCTGAGAAGCCGAGGTCGGCCAGGACCAAGTACTTGCGGTCGGTGGCGTTGCTGATCTGGGGGAAGTAGACGTCCACCATGAAGAAGAAGATGCAGGCGAGGAAGGCGAGGACGCCGATGCCGATGCCGTAGCGACAGGCGTCCTCATTGTGGTTGAAGACGCAGAAGAGATGGGAGTCCTCGGGCGTGCTGATGTAGCCATCCCCGACCAGGCAGGCGAACACGATCAGGGCGAAGATCTGTGAGGCGGAGCCGGTGTCCAGTGGGCGGCACCGAGACGGGGAGGCCCTTCGGGGGCTGCCCGTGCCCGACGGGCCGGGGACACCGGCCAGGGCGGAGGGGAGGCGGGCCCGGACGGGCTCCAGGGGAGGGCCCGGCCCGTCCGCGGCCCGTCCCGACGGGGCTCTCCCGCCCCGTCCCGTCCCGACTCACCGCACTGACGATCCGCGCCAGCACCTGCGGCTGCTGTACGAAACGGACCAGGTCGAAGGCGCCGCCAGCCTTCGCCGCCCCGTAGGCGCCGCTGCCGCCGCCCTCCATCGCGTTCCGCCGCCGCTCCTGCGCGGCACCGCCCCGGGAGGGCCGGGCCGGGCGGTCCCGTGGCGCTGGGGCGGGGCGGGCTCGGGCCGGCGGGACCGGGGCTCCCCCGCCCGGACGCAGAGGGCCGCGCTCGTCCCGCGCTGCACCCCGGTGCCCCGCTCCGTCCCTATCTCCGCCCCGGTGTAACGGGGACGGGCAGCACCGCCCCCACGGCCCGGCCGGCGGCGGGTCCCGGTGAGGGCGGCCGAGGGGAAACAGGGGCTTTGTGGGGCTCCCGCCGCCCCCGCCCGGTACCGGGAGACGGCAGGAACGGCGGGGCGGGCAGGGCTCGGTGCTCCCCGCCCTCCCCGCGGATCCGCACCCACACCGGCCCACGGCCCCGGCGGAGGCGGCGGGAGCCCCGAGGGGCGTCCCGTCGGTTCCCGGTATCGGGGCGGGCGGGAGCTGCCGCGGAGCTCCGGAGCCGCCGTCTGCCCCGAGCAGCCTTAGCCCGCTCCGGGGGCAGAGGGAGTTGCGGAGCCCGAGGGTTGGTGGAGGAGGGGAGGAAGGAGACGACGCTGGACACCGGCGGGAGCGGGCGGGGGGACACGGCGGCGGAGCACGGGGGAGTCTGTGCTCCCATGTGTCCTCTTGGGGCCGGTTCGGACCCCTCCCGAGCCGTGCGCTGGGGCTGGTGCTTGGAGGCTCCGTCCCTGCCCCTGAGGGTCCCGGGACGGCGGGCGAGCTCCTCCCGCGCGGGACCGGCACCGCCCTATCCGCCCGTTCTTACTTCCTGCCGCTGCCGGGTTGGCCCCGGGGTTAGTCCCGGGTTTAGGCCCGCAGACCGCGCGCTCCCGCCTGCCCCGGATCCCGCACGCAGTGGCTGCGGTTCCATCCTCGTCCAGCGGGCCGGCAGCGCGCGGGGGAACCGGGGGCAGGGGCCACTGACGCCCGTCCGCTCGCCGCGGCAGGGCCCGTGTCGGAGGGACCTGCTCGGCCCCGCAGGATGTCCCAGCCGCCCTCCATCACCCTCCACGTCCCCGAGGGCACCGAGAGCGATGGGTGAGTGTGACCCTCCCGCTGCCCCGCTGTGCCCCTGCTCTTGCACCCCAGTGGCATGAGGTCTCTGTGTCCCTGCAGCCAGGAGCCGAGCCCGGACAGCGAGAGAGCCCTGCACACCTCCTTCCACCAGCTTATCCTGGAGCAGAGCAGCTTGATCGAGGCAGGTCTGGAGCTGGAGATGAAGGAGAGGGACAGAGGTAAAAGCACTGCAGCCAGGGCAGGCCGAGGGCAATGTGTGTGCCCAGGGCCATCCACCCACCCTGACCCTGCTTGGGCCGGCTGGGGTACACGTCATGGCTGTGGCCAAAGCCTTGAAGGAACCTGCTGATGCCTTGGCTGGTGCAGGGCAGAGTAGGGCAGAGCAGCTCTTGGGGACATAAAGAGTGTCCCTGGAGTAGGGGGTACTCTGGGGGAAGCACATACCAGGACACACACCTGGCCTCTGTGCTGGAGCAGAGCAGTGGGGATACAGGGACGAGCCTTGGGCACTCTGCATCCTGCCTTCCCCCTCCTAGAGTCCCCGGCCTGCCTGGCTCCCCCAGACGCCTGTGCCGCGGCCTGGCCAGAGCCAGGGCAGGGTGAGCAGTGCCCTGGCTACTCCTCCGCCTCCCTGCAGATCCTGGCCAGCATGCCCAGCCGCACCATCGGTAGGTGCCACCTGCCCTCCTGCCTTTCTCCAGGCCCCAGAGCCTCTCAGAGAGCTCTCCCGCCTACCCTGCTCTCCCACGGCCACCCAAACCCTGCCCTGCTCTGGCCTGCAGGACGCAGCCTCGGGGCCATCATCTCCCAGTACTGCAACCGTACGGCCCGGCTGCGGCGCCGGAGCAGCCGCCCGCCCCTGCAGCAGCTGTGCCGTGCGGCGCGGCCCAGCCTGCGGCAGTACGACCTGGACACTGACCCTGCCAGGGCCACGCTGGAAGGTGAGGGTCCCCTGGAGCAGGAGCAGGCAGTGCCAGGCACTGTCCCTGTTCTGAGTTTGGGAAGGGCATGCCATGATGTGGCTAGCCGTGTCCCACTGAGCCCCCTGTGCCCCAGACAAGTGGAGCCTGCTGGTGAAGGAGCTGCTGAGCCTCTCGCCCTACCAGCGCAGCCAGATGCTGCTCACTTTGCCCATCAGCCTGGCAGAGAAACGCACCCTCCGGTAGGTCCCCTTGCACCAGCCCCGACCAGGCAGGGCTCCCACAGCCAGAGCCATCCTGGGACCTGTGGTACCCTCTGACACTCCTCTCTGCTGGGCAGGCGGCAGGTGAACAGGCAGAGGGGCCTCCTGAGGCAGCATGCCCAGCACTGGGCCCCCTCCTCGCCCTGTGGATGGTCCATCGTCTACGTCGGCCTCGTAAGTCAGGGCGCGGTCTGCACAGCAACGTAGGGGCTCCAGTGCAGGCTCTGGCTCTGGTGCTCTCCCCAGGTTCTCTCTCCCCAGGGCTGCCGAGGTCTCTGGTACAGGCTGCTCTCCCTGCTCCGCACCGCGCAGCCCTGGCACTACACCTTGAAGCAAATCAGTGGCCGCTTTGGCTCCAGCGTCCTCTCCTACTTCCTCTTCCTCAAGACGCTCCTTATGTTCAACTTCTTCTCATTTCTCATCCTCCTGGCCTTCGTGGTGGCCCTGCAGGCTGTGTACCCCCCTCCCTCGGCCAGCCCCCCCCCCTTCACCGGCCTGGAGCTCCTCACAGGAGCGGTAAGCACAGCCCACGCATCAGGGCCCGGGCACGCCCGGGACAGGGGCTGCTCCAGGCCTGGGGTGCAGCCCCACATCCCCACCACAGTGATGCCCCAGTCGCTGCCCTTGCACAGCTGGGCCCCAGGACTGCCAGTGCTGTGGGTGCAGAGGGGGTGCCTGGTGCTGCCCCAGCCTAGGACTCTGTCCCCGGGGCTGGCACAGAGGTGCCAGGCTGGGTGGGGAGCTGCAGGCACCGCCGAGGTCACCATGGGCCACATCCTGTGCTTTCCCACAGGGCTACTTCACACACTCACTGCTGTACTATGGCTACTACAGCAACGTCACCCTCAATGACCCCTGCACCCCTGGCTCCAAGGGCAGCGCGTGCCCCCCCGCAGCCCCCCCGTTCCCGTACAACATGCCGCTGGCCTACCTGTTCAGCGTTGGGGTCTCCTTCCTCGTCACCTGCATCCTGCTGGTGTACTGGTGGGTCAGCAGCACCTATGGCACTGCCAGCCTTCCCCCTTCACCCAGCCCTGATCCCTGATGCCCTCTCCCTCAATGCAGCGTGTCCTGCTCTTTTCGGGAGAGCGTGGGAAGCTCCTTGGGGGACCTGGCTGCCAAAGTCTTCTGCGCCTGGGACTTCAAGGTGATCCAGAGGCGCTCAGTGAAGCTGCAGTGTGAGAACTTCTGCACCCAGCTGAAGGTGAGGAGCTGGGTGATACAAACACCCCCAATCCCACTCTTGCATCAGCGCTTTGTCCATCATCCCTCTAGGTCCTGCCACAGTGCAGTGGGACAGACCCTTGCTCTGGACACGGAGCAGGTTTGGCAGCTCTGGCACTGCTCTCTTCCAGGAGCTGCTGGCAGAGCAGCGTTCCCGCTCCCACTCCCAGAGCCTCTGCCAGCGCCTGAGGCACTGCATCGTGGTACTCCTGGCCTGGACCCTGGCACTGGGCTCGGTGCTGGGCTGCACACTGGCTGTGCACCACTTGTCTAAGCACATGCATGTGGTGAGTGCCAGCCCTCGCCCTGGGGTTGGAGGGACGTGGCAGGGGTAGCGGGGAGGGAGGCAGGGGCAGCTCTTCTCCTGGCCTGGATGTTTGCTGCCTTCCCTAAGGATGCTTGGCTGCCCAAGTCCGTGTGCTCACCACAGTACCTGCTCACCAGGTTCAGCAGGAGCAGCGAGCACAGGGCAGTGGCAGGTGGCAGCAGGAAGCCATCCTGCTGGTCCTGCCCCTCGTGGTATCCCTCCTCAATGCACTGATGCCCCACCTGTACAACTTGCTGGCGATGTGGGAGAAGCAGGACTCCCCTGTGACACAGGTCTACGTGGCCATCTGCAGGTGGGCTGGCTGGGGCTATGGTGGAGGGAGAGTCCTGCACCCCCACCTGTGGCATGGGGGACGCTTTGGGGCCAGGCACCCTGTCTGTGGGGCTTGGCCCCTCCTTCCCCTGGGCTCAGGGGCTCCTGGCCCTGCTCCTGCTCTCCAGGAACCTCATTCTGAAGATGGTGGTCCTCAGCCTGCTGTGTTTCCAGTGGCTCAGCCGGAGTGTTGTCTGCTCAACAGAGGAGGTCAGCACTGCTGTCCTGGGGCCGTGAGGGGCCAGGCTCAGCATGGGGCCATGGAAGGAACTGGGGGTTTCTTCCTTATTAGATATTAGGAAGAAATTCTTCCCCGTGACAGTGGTGAGGCACTGTGCACAGGTTTGCCCAGAGCAGCTATGGCTGCCCCATCCCTGGAAGTGTTTAAAGCCAGGTTGGACAGGTCTCGGAGCAACTTGGTCTAGTGGAAAGTGTCTCTGCCCATGGCAGGAGGGTGGAATGAGATGAGCTTTAGGGTTCCTCTAACCCAAAGCATTCTGTGATTGCATGCCACCCTTACTTGTATCTCTAGTGCTGGGAGACATGTGTGGGGCAGGACCTTTATCGCTTTGTGGTGATGGATTTCATATTCACCTTGCTGGACACGCTCTTTGGGGAGCTGGTGTGGAGGTAATGTGCCCCAGGATGTGTGTGTCCCCCCCGGTGTTGCATCCCTGCATGGCCCCAGCTCTCTGGTGTGCCCAGGCTCTGCCACATCGGAGTGGGAAGGTGGGTGCAAGGGTCCCCCTGGGCAGTGTGGAAGCAGAGCTCTGCTCCTCTCCAGGCTGATCCTGGAGAAGAGGCTGAGGCAGAGGCCCGAGTTTGACATTGCCCGAAATGTGCTGGAGCTGATCTACGGGCAGACCCTGACCTGGTGAGATGTCTCTGCCTGATGTGGCTCCTTCCTCTGCTGGCAAATACCTGGTGTTCCCCAAGAGCCCCGTGGGTGCCCCAGCTGTGCCCACCACTGGCTCCCTTGGGGCTCAGACCCAGGCGAGCTCGTCTTCCCCCCATTCCCAGGCTGGGCATTCTCTTCGCTCCACTCCTGCCGGCCGTGCAGATGCTGAAGCTGCTGCTGCTGTTCTATATCAAAAAGGTGTGATTCCCTCTGCCCCCTGCAGTTCCCCACTGGTGACACAGCAGTGACACTGTGCCCTGCCAGTGCCAGCCTCTGCTGCAGCAGCGCTGCTGCACAGAGCAGCCCCGTCCTGGTGGGACTGAGCAGAGGTTGCTGGGGAGAGGGTGTCCAAGCTCACTTGGCTTCCAGTGGGTAGGAGGGAGAGGACAGCAGGGTGGGGGCCACACTTCAGGAGCTGGCAGCCCACAGGATGCTGCTCCCTGTTCACAGACCAGCCTGATGCGGAACTGCCAGTCCCCCAGCAAGCCCTGGCAAGCGTCGCATATGAGCACCATTTTCATCACCCTGCTGTGCTTCCCCTTCTTCCTGGGTGCAACCATCTTCCTCTCCTACACCATCTGGTCGTGAGTACCCACCAGGCCATGGCTTGGGGCACAGGACCCCTGGCAGCCTGGAGATGGAGGGGCTTGGAGACACCATGCCCCCCAACCCCAACATCCCCAGCCCCAGGGAGGGGCTGTCCCAGGCAGGGAGGTGCTACCCAGCCACTGGCTTGTGCCCACTTCCTCCAGCTGTTCACGGGTGTTCCTGGTGCAGGACACAAGGATGAAGATCCCTGGGGATGCTGGGGACAGTGAGGCTGGGTCCCAGGAGGGCTGGATGTCTGAGACAGGCAGTGCCCTGGGCTGGGGGCAGCGGCTGCTGGGCCGCCCATTGCTCTGACCACCCCGTCGGTCTGTCTGCTCAGGGTGCAGCCATCAGAAACGTGCGGACCCTTCCGGGGGCTAGAAACCATCTACAAATCAGGGAAGAGCTGGGTGCTAGTGCTGCAGAAGTCCAACCCCAACATCACTTGGTTCGCCTGGGTCCACCAGCACCTGGTGGAGAACACCTTCCTCCTGTTCTTCACGTCCGGGGCCCTCCTGTGAGTATGGACCAAAGCCCAAGGCTGAATCCTGGGCCTTGCTTTGAGGGTCCCACTGTCATGGCCCTAAGCAGGGCTGGGAGCTGGGGTGACAATCCAGAGCCCTGTGCCCCATCCTGGTGCCAGGAGCACAGTGTTCCTCAGCTTCCTGCCCAGTTGCCACCATCCCCTCCTGTTGTTGCAGAGCTGTGATCTACTTCTACATCCAAGTGGTGAGAGGCCAGCAGAGGGTCATCTGCCTGCTCAGGGAGCAGATCGCCAAGGTGTGTGAGCGCTGCGCCCTGTCCCTGCCCGTCCTGGCTGCTCCAGGCCTGGTCCAGCCCCAGGACTGCCAGTTCAGGCTCTGGCCCTGGCAGCACTGCCACTCAGCTGTCCCACGGCTCTGTTGTTGCAGGAGGGGGAAGATAAGATATTTCTCATGCAGAAGCTTCACTCCGTTTATGAGCAGCGAGAGAGACGTGCCTGAGGCCCAGGTAAGGCTGGCATGAAGGGCTGGATCTGTCCATCACAATACTGTGCTGGAAGCTGCAGGACCAGAGGATGCTGGGGAAGATCCTCCCTGCTTGCTGTGGCCAAGGACCCATTGAGGCATGTCAATAGGAATGCCATGGCACAGGGATGCAGGTGCTCCTGCTGCCTGGAGCTGCTGGGATGCAGCACATGCAGAACTAGGACTGCTGTCACACCCCAGGGCACAGCAGTGGGGCTGCCTCACCAGCACAGCCCTGCTCTGTGGGTGGTCACTGCTTGCAGAGAACAGCTCTTCAGCTCTCCTCCCTACCAGCACACTGGCCCCATGGAGAATGGCCCTGGGCTGTTTTCAGAATCCTTTGGAGACAGCAGAGCTTTCTGGATGGAGAAACCTGCAGCCCATTTCACGTTGTCCAGGGGCAGCAAGGATGGAACTGGGAGCTGCCAGGCACTGACAGGGCTGACCCAGCTCCAGCCCTGTGCCTGGCTCGCCAGGAGAGCAGCTGTCTGATCCCAGTCCCACGAAAAAGGCCTCTGGGCCACCCCAGCAGCCCTACACACACTGCACCAGCTGGCAAGACGGACTCAGAAGAACCACTGTGGTGCTGGGCTGAGCAGGGACCCCATGGGCTCAGGCTGACCTGGCCCATTAAAGTGCTGCTGCACAGGAGGGCTCTGGCTGGTGTCTGGACCTGTTGGGCTGGAAGCAGGCAGGTGGGGTTGGTGCGTCAGCGCTGGTTGTGGTGGTGACTCAGCAGCTGTGTCAGGGTGTGCTCAGACTCCTCAGCACCGCCTGCTTGCCCATCTGGCTGCCCAGGGCAGAGCACAGCTCAGCCCACACCGCTGGAGCGAGGGCCACTGCCGCCCTGTGAGCCACTGTGGGCAGTGTCTGCAGCCCCCGGCACCGAGAGCTGCTCCCCTCCATGGCGCACTGCTGGCAGCCCCAGGCCCTGGGACAGCAGCTGCCCCATGCCACAGCACTGACAGGCCCAGGGCAGGATGTGCCACTGTGTGTGCCAGGCACAGGCAGCCACCAGTACCCCGTGACTTGGCACTGGCGCCGCCGGGTGAGGCAGCTGGGCCAGGCCGGGCCGTCAGCGCAGGCACAGGGTGGGTTATTGTCATGGACAGACACTGGTCATAGGTGTGGGCATGGGGTGGGGCCTGCACACAGCCCCAGCCCTTCTTGGGATGCATTAAGAAGAGTATTGCCAGCAGGTCACAGAGGTGATCCTGCCCCTCTACAGAGCCCTGGTGAGGCCACATCTGGCGTGCTGTGTCCAGTTCTGGGCTCCTTAGGACAAGAGGGACATGGAGCTCCTGGAACAGATCCCACAGGCTACAGAAATGATTAAGGGACTCGAGCATCTCTTATGAGGACAGGTTGAGGGAGCTGGGCCTGTTCAGCCTCAAGAAGAGATGTCTGAGAGGGAACCTCATCAGTGTCTGTCAGTATCTGCAGGGAGGTGTCAGAGGATGGACCAGATTCTGCTCAAGGGTGCCAAGCAATAGGATAAGAGGCAACAGGAAATTCCACCTGAATATAATCCTGATGGGCCCCTTCCAACTCAGCATATTCTACGATATTCTATGAGAAAGAACTTCTTTCCTCTGCAGTGACCACACACCAGAACAGGCTACCCAGAGAGCTGGTGGAGTCTCCCTCACGGGAGATACTCCAGAACCATCTGGATGCAATCCTGTGCCATGTGCTCTGGGATGACGCTGCTTGAGCATGGAGGTTGGACCAGACAACCCTCTGTGGTCTCTTCCAGCTTGACCCGTTCTGAGATTCTCTGAGCCCAAGTGAGTGCTGGGGAGCAGCCACGGGCTGGAACTTGCTACAACTTGTGAGACATCCCTGACTGAGACATCCCTGTCAGTGGACCTACCCCAGCTCCTGACACCCACCCAGGTTCCCCAGTCCTTCCACACCTTTCCCCAGGTCACCCCACTGTGGCTGGACTGGCATGATGCCTGTAGGGCCAGAGCTGCTGGCAGGAGCCCCATATGCACTCAAGTCTCCAACCTGGGCAGCCTTACCAGCCCCTGCCCTGCTTAGCCCAGCTCAGATGCTGCCCTAGCCCCCAGCCCCACTGCAGCAACCCCTCCTGTGCTCAGAGGTGCCAGCACGGTCTGGCCTCTGAGCCTTCTGCTCATCCCTTCCCCAAAAGCCTGAGGTTTCCTCCCAAGCACAGGGCAGCCACCAGCCTGGACAGTTTGGTCAGAGTTTTACTGTGAAGTCCCACGGGGATACAGTCTGTCACCAGCCTCTGACACTGTTCCAGGCCCAGCTCCCAGCACCACACAAGGCAGCTGCTCTCTGGCCACCTCCTTTGGTGACAGAATTGTCCTGGGCTGCTGCAGGCACCTGGCAGGGTCGGGGTCAATGGGGGTTTCCAAGGGTGGCCCGAAGCCACTGCAGGACATCGGCCAGACCGGTCCCGTCGCGGGCACTGGTCTCCAGCATCGTGATGGGCTGCGTGGCACAGGACACGATGTCCTGCATGCGGAACAGTGACTTCATCTCCAGCAGCGACATGTAGCAGGGCAGGTCACTGCAGTGGGGAGAGGGGAGCTGCATTAGCCCACCACTACAGCTCCCAGCTTGGGGGTCTACAGCCCACGAAGTGCAGCAAAGTGCAGCTGCTACCCCCGAGCAGCCCCACCCTCCGAGCTGATCCCCCTCCTCACATCTTGTTGAAGAGCACCAGGACGGGCACGGAGGCGAGCGGCGCTGCCGAAAGGACGGAGAGCAGCTGGATGCAGGACGAGGAGACCTGGGTGGGGTTGGAGGCATCGACCACGAACTGCAGGGGGAGAAGGGAAAGCGGGGTGCGGGTGTGCCGAGGGCAGCCCCGGGCGCCGGGCCAAAGCAGGGCACGGAGGAGGGAGATCTCACGGGGTGCCGGTGCCGCTCACCAGAAGAGCGCTGCACTCGCTGTAGTAGCTGGGCCAGATGGGGCCCATGCAGCCGCCCAGCTCCCGCACCGTCACCTTCCGCGGCAGCCGCAGGTCGGTCAGGTTGGTGCCCACCTGCGGGACAGGCGCTGGGCTGGGTGCGGCCGTGCCCGCCGCCCCCCGCCGCCCCTCGGCCCCGCCGGGCCCTGCCTACCGTGGGCAGCGTGGCCGGGGGCTCGCCCAGCCCCGCCGGCTCCTCGGCGCTCAGCTGTGCCGCGCGTTAAGGACTCGCGCTGAGGAGGGGAAGGGGCTGCCCGGACCCCCCCGCCCCCGCCGGTCCCCCCCGGTGCCCCCGTGCCCGGTGGATATGGCGTAGCCGCCGCACCAAGAGGCTCTTGCCGCCGCCCGCCGCCCCCAGCAGCAGCACCGTGGGCGGGGGCCGACCCGCGGCCATCGCGGCCCCGCCCCGGCGGAACCGGCCCCGCCCCGGCGGAAGCCGGAAGCGGAAGGGCCGCGGAGGGGCGGGGACGGACCGGGCCGGAGCGGTCGGGCCGGGCCGGCGGCGGGAGGACACCATGGGGCGCGGCAGCGGCACCTTCGAGCGGCTCCTCGGTACCGGCGCGGCCCCTTCGGCGGGCGGGGCGGGGCCCGGGCCGGGGTCCGCAGCAATCGGCCCCGGAGAGGGCGGGCCCGGGGCACGGCGCTGCCCGGGCCGGGGCTCGGTGCCGCAGCCCGATGCTGGCCGGGAGGAGCGGGAGCGGTGGGGCCGAGGTTACCGAGGGCCCCGGGATGTCTTAAAGGGGAGAGAGGGCTGGTGCCTTCCGGGAGACATCGGAGGTTTATTCCTGAGCCTCGGGACAGCGCCGCGCCCGGGGCGCTCCCGCGACACGTCGGTGGCGGAGCGGAGCCGCGGGGAGCGGCCGCTCGCGGCATCCCGGTGGGTTTATTCCTTGCAGATAAGGCCACGAGCCAGCTCCTGCTGGAGACGGACTGGGAATCCATCCTGCAGATCTGCGACATGATCCGGCAGGGAGACACCCAGTGAGTGCTCCTGGGCTTTCGGACGCGCTGTGGGCACAGCTCTCCTGTCTGACCCTTCGGGGGTCTTGGACCTGCCAGCCCGTGGGAGCACACGTGTCTGTCCCCTTCCACAGGAGCTTTGGAAGGGCAGTACAGCACACCTCAATGTGCTGACATTCTTCCCAGACCTCAGGGGTCACAGGTTACCCCTGGCCTGAAATCCTCAGGGAAACTCAAGCTTGAATGTGCTTATTCCTTCCCAGTTTCCTCCAAGGAATTGTGTACCCCTGAGCTAACTGTGCCCTCGTGTCAGAGGGGGGGTTGGCGGGTTGGCAGCAGCAGGTGGGATCTCCCCTAGGATCCTTGATCCCCTGAGGATGTGTCCTCTCTTTTGTACCCAGAGCGAAATACGCTGTCAACGCCATCAAGAAGAAAGTGAACGACAAGAATCCCCACGTGGCCCTGTATGCGCTGGAGGTAACAGCACCGGACCGGGAGCACCGCGGGGACCTGGGGAATGTCCCCTCTCACCGTCCTGCCTTCAGGCTGCACAGCTTCCCTGCCTGGGGCACAGTATGGAGCCAGCCTCCTCCTAGCTCTGGCACAGAGGTTTTGGGATAATCAGGCCGGGCCTTCATGCTTTAGGTCTGTCTTGGCTTTGGAACAGGCAAAGCTGGGACTTGGGCCACTGTCCCTGGGGTCAGTTGTTCTCTCCAGAGAACAAAGGCCCCCCAGGCCCCTGTGGAGCTGAAGGGCAGCTGGTTCCCAGCATGGGATATGGATTGACACGGCCCCAGTGTGCCTCATTGCTTAAATAGTGCCCTGTGTTCAGCCTGTACAGTGCGCTGGCAACACCATGGGTTGCAGAGGAGGCAGGAAACCGTGGGCTGATGTTGTTCTTGGCCATTGCAGGTCATGGAGTCAGTGGTTAAAAACTGTGGCCAAACAGTTCATGACGAGGTGGCCAATAAACAGACCATGGAGGAGCTGAAGGAAATACTCAAGGTAAATCGATTTGTTTTTCTATCATTTTTTTTCTGGAAAAGCACCAGCAGCAGGAGGAAATGTGTGTGTCCTCTCCTGCATTCCTTTTGGGTAAGGAACAGAAGGGAAACTGGGAGTGCACTCCAGAAAAGAGCAAACTATCATGTGGTGTGAAGGGGTGAGTGTAGGGAGTGAAGGAGGATCTCTGGGAAGAGGAGATGTGGTGGAAGCAGAGGTTTGGCTGTGCTGTGAACGGGCAGGAATGTGCTGTAGAGGCCTGGACCACTCCATGATAAATGCTCCTGGATGCAGCACTTGGCTTGGGACAGCTAAGGAAACCAAGTGATGGCCTGGCACCTGCATTGAGGACCTGGGCAGTGGTGAGGTGAATTCCCTCCCATAGAACAGTGTGAGACACACAGGCAGGTAAAGCAGTAAAGGAAAAACCAACAGGAGCTTTCTCTGTGTTGTGGCCATTTCACCAGCCTGTGGAATAGTTCAGGAGTTCTGCAGGATGTGACCCTGGTTGCTGGCACTGACAAGATTTGTCACAGGCTACCACCAGTCTGATGCCTGCAGGAGCTCTGTGTGTCCTTGGTCTGGAGAATTCCATGAGTGGAGTGGAAATGAGAACTCCTGTCTCCCGCTCCCAGAACAGCAATGCCCAGACAAGAGCTTGTTAGCATCGTGCTGTTCCTTCCTAACAGCTCCTGTCTTCCACCAGAAATAAACAGCCAGATGACCCAGATCCTTGCAGGATGAGCT